AAACCACCCGTTGGTGACTCGAGAATTTTAGGAAGAAACGAAGATACAATTACGACAACAGAGCTTTACATCTATGGGGAACCAGTGCGTAAGTGAAGCGCCAATTATTAGCTTTTTTGAAAAAAAACAAAAAAGAATGAATATTTGCGCGCGAGAGTAAGGGCTGACCAAGAGGTGATGTGTCAGTTAGAGGGGTGATGGGTAGGTAGAGCTTTGCATACCCACGGATTACACGCGGATCATCGGGAATATCCGCAGTAAACTAGCACATGCGGATAAAATTGAAACGGATCCGGCGGATGGCGGATTGGATGCGGATGTCAGGGGTTGCGGATGAGAATATCCGCGGGTCCGGATCTACATTTTTTGCCGAGGCGGCAATAAACGTATGCGACCGCGCAACGTAGGGTGAATATGTGAGTGACACCATGAAATGCGCCAACGAATATATTTCGGGAGCTAACTCCTCTCTTAGATTAAAGGTGTCATTTGGAGACAAAGTTTTTTTTTACGTCCGGAAAGATTTGATTCTCACTAGAGATCGCTTTACAACGTTCTCTCTCGCCAAGAATGCTGTCACTAGAAAAAGTAAATAATGCAGGAGCATCAGTCGTCCCCCAAAAGCGTTTTCTTGTTTGGCGGGAAAAGAGCGGAGGACGTTCTTTGGGCAGAAAAAGAAACCCCCCCAAAACGTACAAGCCACAAGAAAGAAGGAAAAACCTACACGTGGCTTCTTCGTCTACAAGTTGATTGAGGAGATTAAACTCGACCCTCTGCAGAGGTGGAACTTGCACCGGCACAAGTTTCCGCACGTTATTCTAGTAGCGCAGTTCGTGCACGCGACCCGAGCATCAAGTCCACCAACGGAGATAGTCTTCTCATTACCGGGTATTAATTTAAGATAGGCGAACTATACTCTGTTTCACCACAACTTCGCGAACTGTGGAGGCGGTGGCCCCCGCCACCCAATAAGAGCGTCGGAGCAAATCACGTGACAACACTCCATGGTCGAGGTCGCGAGGCGTCGTTGCTGCCACAGCAACAGCGCCATCCGCGAGAAAAGTAGTTTCAAGGATCTTTTTCTTTGAGTAGTGTTGCAGTCAGAGTTATCTGACCGTACCCTGCACGATACAGGAGAAAGACAAAGACATGCTACTTTTCAAGGATACTTAATAGGGGTCAATCCTTTCCCGAGAACTACATGGCTTTTATTTATCTCATGAACTGTTCCCGAAGAGCTCACTACTCTAGCGGACGGCACTGTTGCGCCGGAGAATTTTCAGCCGAAGTTGATTGGTTTCGAAGCAGACGACTCTTGGCCTAGCAGACGACAGCCGGTGGTCCGGGCCTCGCATTTGGCGCAGTGTCACGTGCCTCGCTCCGACACTCTTATTGGGTCGCGGGAGCTGTAGCTTCCACAGTTCGCCAAGTTGTCGTTTAAGGGAGTATAGTCTGAATCCGTCCATGTTAACAATATTCTGTGTCAGAATATCCTCAACGCAGTGTCACGTGCGCCAAATGCGCCCCCCCACCACTCGACTCGATTGTCTGCGTCGCCGTCCGCCATTGACCCTGGCAAGCTTTTTGGCCCTATTTTTTTATAGAAAGGGAACAACGCTTTGTAATTTTACAGGATAAAACCGACCTGTGGAATACACCTTTGACGAAAAGTTTAGATTGCTACGTGCAGGCGCCGATTTGTACGGCCCATTTGAGATCGAGCCTGCTTATTTCAGACACCCTATACATGGTTCCGAGAATGCAGTTGAAGGTTGAGCCGGGGTCACACTGCTGAATAATACAAAATACGGTCTGCACACAGATTCGAACGGAGTCACCGCGAGATTCGTGCTTCGAATGCCTCATGGCAACGAGTTGGAGGAGAAACTTTGCACACGGCATTCGAACCAGGGATATTGCTATGACTCGTGTTTGCAGATTGTCTTTTGTATAGGGTGTATGAACAGTGGAACCCCGGCTTAAGCGTTTAAAACTGAAATTGAAAGGAAGTGTTTTCATTCTTGAATGTCGTGATATTTTTCCATTTGTTTACCTCATCTTATCATGTATACGCTAGTCGATGACTGAGCGCCTTTCCTCTCCCACTTTTCTATTGCTGTGCCGAAATAAAATGACACAATGTTATCACTTATCGGCCTGTCCTTTGTTAATTTTCATGTTTATAATGTATGCGCCTGCTTGAAGTGGGTTTTGCAAAGCAAACAAAAAACAAATATTAAAATGTATTTTTTTTTTTTAGCGGATCTTTTGGACTGTGTCACGGACTCACAAGACAATGTCATAACAGCGATCATTTTTCCAGCGATGCGGAGTGTCTCTTGAAGTAAGATCGTTTATTTTATAAATACGATAGAACAGAATACGATAAAATTACTTTCGCCGTAATTCTGGCACGAAGAGTTCTTTCTACAAAGGTAAGCAAGACGGCTTAAAAAATACCATCCGGGTGCCTTTTTTTTTGTGTCCTTATTCATGCTTGACTTTCTGATGTAAAATGAATGCGCGGATTGAGTGTCGGATGCGGTTCCGAATTTTGCGGATGCGGTCAGTCAGACCCCTGTCTGACTGATGGTGCCTGTTTGGTTGCTTCCTCTTTTGTCGTTCTTTCTGTTCCAAGTAATAAAAACTTCAAATGCCAGTCAGCGTTTGTCCGGTTTTAATTTTACTTCTGCTCGGTCTGTATATATATATATATATATATATATATATATATATATATTTTTTTTTTTTTTTTTTTGCGCTGCTTTTACGTTTTTATTAAATAGCTGAATGCATCAAATATTTACTTCGGTTGTCTCCAATTCGGCGACTGTTCTTTGCATGGAGATTTTGTCGAAACAATTCGGTGTTTTAGAGAAGCAATCCTGTTTAATTATAATTACGGTTCTGTGCCTTAGGGTTTTTCGCTTCTTTTTCTTTCGATATCGGGGTGTTTTTTGGGTGTTTATTTTTTCACACAAATCCCGCGTTTTTTTTTTTTTCGGTGTCAATTTTCGGGGTCAGAAAAACAATCGGCGTTTATCGGGACATATGTTTCAGAAAATAAGACAAGGGAACGGGATTTTCTAACCTTCAGAGAACATCGGCTGTGATCTGAATACTCCAAGGTCGTATTCGTGACGCGATGACGTAATGGAATGAAAATGGGATCTGGTTCCGAAGGATGAAACAACCTCACGGAGAGTTCAGGGGGGGTTCTATTTAGGGCTACCATAAAACGAAACTCCAAACACAAATTTTCATCCCGCGTAGTTTTGGTTTTTTCTAGTCGAGGTCAGCTCCAATTCGGGGTTTTCGGTTTGCACCGATTTTGATCGCACCACCTCGGTGGTTAATTTTCGAGGTTTATCGGTCTTTAACGAAAACACCCAATTCTAATCAAAAGTAGGGTTGCGGATTTTCCGTTTTTTTTCCCCTTCATATTCGGGGTTGTTTTATCGGGGTTTGGTGTTCTTTTCCTAATCGGTGTTTATTTTCAGTGCCAGACAACGAATCGGTGTCCATCGGGGCTAACGTATGAATTAACTGCATGCATCTATAAAGTGGTGACACCCAATCCTCCGCCTCTTTTTCGGTGTTATTTTTTCTTCCGATTCATTGAACTTACGCCCCTTACCCAAATACTTGAAAAACGTCATCCCGGTATCGAGAACAGAATTCAAGAAACGTAGTTCCACTTCCCCCTCCCCCCCCCCCCCCCAAAAAAAAAAAAAAAATCTCAAGGTCACACATCTAAAAAAAAAAAAATTGTCGCAGACATTTTTTTTTTTTTTTTTTAATTTTTAAGTTTTTGCAACGCTTATCTGCCACTGCTTGATTACGTGTTCCGAGCACGTATCATACACGAGGGCTGCGTCAGCGTAGCAGCTTGGGCGAGTTGGTTGCACATTATTACACACATTACAGCGCACTATAGCAAACAACACTCACTCCTTACACACGAAAAATAAAGCAAAAATAAAGAAAAACGAAGCGCGGTTTGTTTGAATTTTGCTTTATTTTTCGTTTGTAAGGAGTGAGTGTTGTTTGCTATAGTGCACTGTGGTGTGTGTAATAAAGCTGCGTCAGCGTTCGGCGTGAACTCGGCCCGGCTCGTAATGGATACGAGTGTTACGTCAGCGTTCGGCGAGGACTCGGATCCAATCACGCACTTCGTGCCCAAGCAATGGCGACCGCCGCTGGGCAATGAGGTTTGGTTCGACAGGTGGCGCCATCTTATGAGGGATTTTTGTGACTTGAAAACGTCGGAGGTCGCAATCGTTGGACCCGATCTCGTGCTTGAAAATCCGAGTGCCCGGCCAAACTCGGACACAGAGCTTGCATCCAATCGTTCGATGGTTAGGCCTTCCCAAAGTTGCCCATTTTGGCCACCAGTCGCTGACTTGCAGCCAACCGACGAGGCGCCTCCTGTTTACTGCCCGGAAGGCCATGTTGCTTGATGGGCTTCTTAAAAGAGTGTTACGATTGAAGAAAGGAGACCAAAATGTTATCATTTTGTTTTTATTTGCTAAATAATATATTTTTTTTTTATTTGCAGTTTTTTTTTAATTGTGAAATTTTTATGGAAAGCTGGCTGCTGTGCGCGACAGCTTTGTTCCTAAGGCACTTTTAGAGAAAGATTCGCTTTTGTTCAGTGACCCACATTATGAAAGATCCCTTGGCCGACGAAGTTTATGCGGCGGTGCTAACCACACTTTGGTCGGAGGCACTTTATTTTTAGGGTGAATAGAACGAACGTATATTTATATCCCGACTCCAAGCAAGTGGGCCAGGCCAAGGCGAATCCGACACAGCCGCTTGAAACTGCGCTTCGTCGAATGGGTCTTTAATAATGTCGGAGACTGTGAATCGTTGCACTCTACCGTCGAACGAGACCCGTACTGGAGGCATCGGACGCCTGACCTGGGCGAGTCGTCGCCGGAATTCATCGGTCACTTCGGCTGGTTTCACAGGATGACGATGTTGTACATGCACAAATTTACTAATGTTCGAGCGCCAGTTATGTTCGAATTTATCGTAGAATGTCTAAAAAGAGACAGTCTCACTTTTTTTTTCTTTTTCACCCCGGGTGTGTGCCACATGGAGATTTTGAAACACGCTCGATGTAGAGTCAATGTTGCACGATAGTTTGCCGATGGATAGTATTTGTTGTCATAAAGCTCTTTGTCATAAAGTTCCACAGCTTTTTAGCATAGTACATGATGGACCTCGCTGCCTTCTACAGCGACTGGTTTTCGTTTTTGACACTGAACGTGCTTCGAAAAAGAGCGTTTTCCCTCGTCTAAATAAATGGATCGACTGATTGACGTTTCCCTATGAATATGAGTTCTGCAAACGGGGCTTTGTGCCATACGGTCCAAGTGTGACACGTGTGGATGGTAAAATTCGTCGCTAAATGATTATTTTTGTGTGACAATTTTTAGGATTTGTTTTGCGTCTGTAAGATGATAATATCGATATTAACAAAAAATGAATGGGGTTCTATCCAACTACTGAAACATGGGCTGTGTTTGAGTTGTTCTTAATTGCGATCAAAGTCCTTGTTTAAAAAGATTGAAACTAAAAAAAATAAAGAAAAAAATAGGCGGATGCATGGTAGTTTTGCTTTATCGGCGGAGCAGTTCTTGACTTCATCTGTGCACCCGTCCGAAGAACCGCACAAATAAACGCGACTCGGCACTTTCCCTATCTTTCAGCGCACCAAGTTTGGAAAGTCGCTTTCTCCGACACGCACGCGTTTCTATTTACAGCGGAACGTATTCGACCCCCTTCGAGGCATATCGTGGCTATCGAGCCACGATAGGTAGGAGCCTCTTCAACTTGAAGTTGGCTAAAGTGATATCTGCTTGGTCGTGTGACGCTATTCGATCACGTGGCACATTCTGAAGGCTCGTCGAAACTTTCACCACTCCGTTTTGCGTTTGTTTGGTCCGTTCCAGTCAGAGTTGTTCGCACGCATGCAGTCCAAAGGCGGCTAGAAATCACAGTTCTGCCATTGTCCGGCCGACTGGATGTTCCGGACGAAGCCAGCCCGAGGCTAGTTCCTGAAGATCTTGACGTTCTGGTACGAGTCTGCGGGACTCGTGAGCGTGGATGCCGTGTTGGCACGGCTGGCGTCGCTCTCGGTCGGGCTGCTCCGAGACCACGTCTGCACCGACGAGCCGCTGGAAATGTCCCTCACGGCCGTTGTGAGTCCAACTTTGGTCATCAGCTTCTTTCGGACCTGTAACCGAAGGAGGACAAAGCGCTGTTGGGTCTCTTTACACGCGGTTTCGGCGGGGCGACGTCACGGTGAACCTATTTCACCCGACGACACCGAGCGGTTGAAATCTCGGCGGCGAAAGGTGATCAACATGGCACCCTGGCGAGATTTCGAGCCGGAAGTGCGTCACGTGAAAGCGCCCAACACTGAAAAGAGTTCAAAAGGGCCGTCCTAACAAGCTACACCAAATGCCCTGCACGGAAAAAAAAAAAATAAAAAAAAAAAAATAAACGCGTGCGTTTTTTGAAAAGCGTGATGGCTGCCGAACTCGCCTTTGTTTTCAGTAAAAACATCAACCTCCGGCAAAACAATAAAAACTTTCAGCCTTTCCGCTCTGGTGAAGAGGGAAGACCAGCGGAGCTGTACAATCGAAAGTAATGGGCAGCCGCAAGTCGGCAAGCCAGAGTGCAAAGGCTGCCGCTATCTGTGATCGACGGCGGCAACCAGATGCGTGGCTTGCCGCCGTCGCTCATAGATGGCGGTAGGTGTCCAGAATTCGGTGTCTTCATTTCTTTGGGGGGGGACATGCCGTGCCAACGCGGATTGGAATTGGAGGCAAACCTCCACTTCCGGTACATCAAACGCTGCGACTGCAGAAACAATTCCGTCCTGTTTGGAGGGTCCTTTAATCAGCCTGGAAGCCTTCACCTGGTCCTCGGTGCTGATCCTGAGGGTGATGACGAAGACGCCGAGCATGATGCTGGACACGGAGAAGCAGACGAAGAGACCCCTGGTCTTGTGCTGCTCGGCGGCGGCGCCCGTTGCCCAGGAGAGCGTGGTGCTCGCAAGCAGGATCAGCGAGGCCCACTTGGAGGCCAGTTGGGTCCTGCGTTGTTCGGGGTGTTCACGGTGGGCGAAACCGTGGAGGCACAGTGCGGGACACAGTAAGCAAGAACCATAGATCGCTGCGGGCGTTTGAAGCCTTCCAGTCAGGGCTCATTACGTTTGGGACCCTTCGAGTTAGGGCAAAACCCGATTTTGCCCTATATTTACACCCAAACATATTCCTTTTTGATTTTTTTTTTTGAAAATCGGGTTAAACTTGATTTTCCCCTTAATTCGCAACAAACGTTCCACCATTTTTACGTGTTTTTTTTTGCGTTACTTGTTGAAAGCGCGCATGACAGAAGCAACGCAAAATATATTCAAACGATACTCTCTATGGATTTTTTTTTCGCGATGGAAATTTTGATAAGAGCGCGCTACCCCCGAGTTTATAGACCACCGAATGCCCCGCCGACACTTCTGTCCATTGCAAACGAAAGCTTCGATGTTGAGGAAAGAAAAAAAAAAAACATTTTCTCAGCTAAGATATGTCTGAAGACATTACAGGACTACTATTGGGACAGAAATGCTGCGCATGCCAACAATTATATATCTAAAAAAAAAAATACAAATGACTAAGTGACTTCTTATGCCACTTTTTAATCCGACTATCTGCACAATGAATTCTTTTTGTAAATAAATCATTTCCTGTCCTCGAACCAATTAAGAACCTAAAAAACCCGAATTTCGTATTAGTATCTAAAGACAACTGATTTCTCTCCTTTCTCTGCATCTGAAATCTTCTTGGAGAAGGCAGACATCAGCTAGATAACGCTCTAACTACTCCCTTTTCATTATAGGGTCAGCCATAACGCAGCCGCCCCGACTATTATGGTTTCAATACATTTTTTTTTTCGTCCATCCATTCATATGTTCATAATTTGTACGCATCAATCTTCAAACGTTGGCTCAAAATAGTTCGGACAATTTCGTAAGGGACCATCTCGCAAACACTTCCAAATTTCCAGTCTCTAGTGTTACACAGGCTGAAAGTGTTCCGGGTCCAGCCGACAGATGGCGTCAGTGTGCTCGGTCACAACGCAATCGGTCACAGTCAAACGCAAATCTGTGAGCCAACCTCAAGAAGTTGCTGGAATCTTCTCCTCCGACTAACAGTACTAACTTTGACAGGAACATTTAAAACCTGCCCGGTGCCCTGTGTTCTGAGTAAGCTGCGACAGGGCAGTTTCGCACAGTGTACATGTATCGAAAATTTGTACTTTATTTTTTTTTTTTTTTTTTTTTTGCAGGGAGTTTTTGATGACCGACCTTGTAGATCCGCCATATAGCAATGCGAAAAGCTTGTGAGGTTAACTTTCCATCCGACCCGGAATGCACCACTATACGTAAGAACAGACGCGTAAGCATTGATGCACCATATACTTTATATGGTCTGTGCTGGCGTCACGTCGGACGCCATTGTGGTGGTGCTGAGCACGTAGATTTTACGGCATATACAATTTGCACCGCTGATTTTCTCCGGCAAGAAGAGGCACGTGAATGAGCATAATGCAATTCATGCAAAGTTGCAAGCGAGCTGGGCAAGAATGACGAAATTAATCCCTGGAGAAGGGGAACAAGGGGGACAAAGGACAAACACAAATCTCCAAACACAGCTAGGTGACTGGTGCGCGTCCGAAAAAATCCACCTGGTCCGGGTATCGAACCCGGGACCTCTCTATGAGGTCCCGGGTTCGACATGAATGACGGATGACGACGTTTCGTGCAAGCCGGGTAGTATACATTCCTTCAGTTGCAGTCTTCCTGATCGTGCACATCGTGCCAAAGGACGCGGAGTTTCTTTGCAGACACGATGGCAGAATCGTCTGCGGACACGTTTCGAACATGTTCGAAGCACGTTAACCTCATACATGCTACGAATCATGTCTGCAGAGAGTTCTCCGTATGACCAGTGCAACGTTACTAAAACACCCAGTTGGGAAACTCTCCCTTGAAACCTGGGCCTCTGGAGTCCACCGAGACCGAGCTAAATACGATAACAGCGCCCCCCTTTAGCGGCGAGTTAAAACATGAAAGTTGCTTTATATGGCTACTGCAAGATGGCCCTGCGAGATGGCGCCACCGGCCCTTCCTTGACTCACTAGAACCAGTAAGTGCAGATGTGCAGTTCACGGAGTGGCCGCTGCGGGAGAAATGGCAGCGTTGCGATCGCCATGAGCTCGGTATTGGGATAAAGATCGTCGCCACCTCTTCAGAGCGGGCTCTATGGCAGTTTCCCAAATGTGTGGTTCTAACAACGTTGGACCAGTGTGATAGGGTCGTTGTACAAGGGAAAATATAGACGCCCCAGACAGTTTATGCAGACTGGATGGATGGATGGATGTTATAGGCTATCCCTTTTGTAAAGAGCGGTAGCTTGCGCCACCTAGTCTAAGTTTGTATTTTGGTGGCAGCGTGTATATATATATATATATATGTATTATATCTACCTGGCCCTCCGGAACTCGTGGCAGGTGAGCGCCCGCCGTCGTCGGGCGGAGAAGAACACGGACGCGAGGAAGACGAGCTGGAGGGCGACGAACAGGCCGACCGGAACCGTGGTCGAGTACGAGGCCACCTGGGACAGGTCCAGCCAGCAGCTGCAGAAACGGTCCCGAAGAAAAGACGTCACCCAAGTAGGCAGCTCCGGTGTTATTGTATCGTATACTCTCCGAAAAAAAGAAGCTGCGGAGGTTTTGAAGTTCCGAAGAAATACGAAACTTTTGAATGTTGGTACTCATGCTTGTATACTAAAGTTCTCTTTCGATTTTATTAGTATGGGAGGGACCTGGGATTGCCTATCAAAAGTTTGCAACAGCTTCTACACTCGGCGTCAACCATTTTGTACTACGTTGTAGAGGCTGACGTGGCTTCCACACCGTCGCTGCAGCCCCGCACCGTCGCGCCAGCAAACGACATCGTCTATGTGTCTGATTTGCGCACACTCTCATGCTAAGGAGCTTTGACAGCGTCGGATTACTGCGGAAGGTACGCCATAGCCTTGACCGCTTAGCACAGAATAGTTGGCGCCGTCTTTCGGCGACTTCAGCGAAATCGACAACACCTAGCGGCTGGAACGGAAAGCTGTGGCGGGAGGTTCGCTCGCCAGCCTTCTCGAGCCAACAGGATACTCGCGGCACCTGGTGGTCTAAAGACGAAGCCGTGAAAGTGTCTTCGAAAACAGTTGGTGAAAATTGCCGCTAGACCAAAACACGCTGTTTACAAACAAATCCGCGCATGCGCATGCCCGGTATGGACAACTGCGCGTGCGTATCGAGCGTGCTATTTCGTCGGACGCTACTTTATCGTGTTCTTTTTCGCCGCATGGTCTTCCCTTGCGTGCGGCTTCGTCGAATGGAGTTTCGCCTCGCGCCGTTTTCGTCGTTTTGAGGTTGGTTGTGTTTTTGCCTCGTCGTTTCGCGCATGCGCGCGCGCACTGTGTCTCGCGGTGAGTTGATCTACCCGCACCGAAGGACAAACGCCGATTTTGTTTTTATTCTCGCTTCCGCCAGGCACGAGAGGCAATACCACCTACCAGAAGACAAGCCCTGCGCATGACATCATCATTCATGCACCCCCCCCCCCCTCTCGCCCCAAGTGGCAAAAACGTCGAAGGTGAACTATGAAACGCGAGATAGGGGGCGCTGCGTGTATCCATTACGCAGTGATTACGCTGCAGGAAGGGAAAGGCACACGCGTCTTGGCTTCTAGTCGGTGGTGGCACACAGGCCGACTGCACGGACCCCAGCACTTAAAAAGTCCCATGATGCTTCTTTTTTCGAGTGTACGACAACCAAACGAAATGACGAGGCACATTTTCTAGGAACAAAACGGCGTCGTTCAGTTCACTCAACGTTACTACAACCCTCAGTTGGGAAACTCACACTGGAAACCTGGGGACGTCCACCGAGACCGAGCTAAACACGATAACAGCACCATCTTTTAGCGACGAGTTGAAACATGAAAGTTGCTTTACATAGCTACTGCGAGATGGCGCCACCGGCCTTTGCCCGACTCGACGTACACCCCTGCAGTTCCCGGAGTGGACGCTGCGGGAGAAATGGCGGCGTTGCGATCGCCATTAGCTCGGTCCTCGAGTACAGATCGGAGCCAGTTTTTCTAAACCGGCTGTATGGCAGTTTCCCAACTGAGCGGCTCTTGTAACGTTGCTTCTTTCTGCTGTGCGCCACCATTCGTTTCCTACAAGATCTGCACCGTCACGCAGTCGGCGACAATGTCGCTACTTGTATACACGAACAACTTATCTGGGAACTTTGCCCCGGCGGCCCGCGCCTTCCGCACCCACCGGTATACACCATTTGCGCGTCGTCGTCGCCGTAATACGTCCGGAGTTTCCTCGCGGCCAGCGATCTATGCGGAAGCGTGTGTTCCAAGACTCTGGTTGAGCGCAGCAGCAGCAGCACCTATCGACCGCCAGATTGCGCGCGAGCCTTGCCCTCGGAGAACGCTCGCCCTCTCAATTATGACATGTACGACTTGGTCGATGCTTCTTTTTCTTCCTGAATCCACCTTGTCCGGTGTCGGTCAAGGCTATACGAACGTTCGTCAAGTTCCCCGCATCGATTAGTGCCGTATCGACGTCGCCGAAAGACACTAGGCACTGTGCTTTTAACTTCTTTTGTTTTTTTCCCAGTCGCATGGCTGCCACTCGCTGTTTCTTTGTGATTCACTCGGAAGCGACTTTGTAAACGTGTATGCATGTTGTTGTTTTTCTCAAGGTCGTGGCTTTTCATGTACTGATAGTTGGCGTCTTTTTGTTTCTTTGTGCGATCGAGTTTTTTTCGTTCTTTTTATTTTTTAAAGAAAAATTAGTGTAGTGGCGTTGCATCAATGTTAATGATTTCTTCAAATTAGAAAAAGAAACAGCCTACCGCTTAGAAAGCACTAATCTTTGAAGTGCGTGATAATTTAATCTGCATCCCGCAGTATCAAATATAAACTTATTCAGCTTTTGTGCCGAGTCCGTGAGAGAAAATGAAACCCGATTTTTTTTCGGCACGCATAAATAAACTGGGCATCGCAGAGAGGTGAAACTCCGTGAGAATGTTACGCTAGAGGGGGTGATACAATGGCGAGAGTTTTAAATTATGATATTAACTACATAAAAAAAAAAATATATTTTTCTCTTATAAACGGACGTCGACTTTAGACTAAGATTCGTCGAACTAAGGCGTGACTTTGTGGATGTGCGGAGCATTTATTTCGGCAAAAACAATTTGTCAGTCAGGAAAAAAAAAAAAAAAACTCGAAATAATGTTTTTTGTTGACAAGCGTTTTTGACTGAAATAACTGTCACAGGCGCCCACAATGTCTGCTGTTGGTTTGACTAGTATTAGGCTCAGGTGCACGTTGGCGCATAGGGAAAATTTTGTTTATTTGTTTCAGATTTCGATGCGAGTAACATCAGGATCTCAAACTTTCGCATTCTATTAGCACCGCTATAACATCGAATTCTTACGGTGTTTCAGATTTCTGTGATGCGTAGTTCATTTATACGGCCCAGAAAACCGGGTTTTATCTTTTTTTACATACCCTGCACACTTTTATTATATCTATAGGGTTCTGATTTTTCGGTCTTTATTTTTTGTTGCATTCGGAGGAGCTTTTAGGACGAGTTTATTATTTTTTGTTTTTACAAAAATTCGGGGTTTTTTGGTATAATTTTTATTTTTGTTTTGTTCAATTCATTGCGGGCTGCGTTCCGGGACAACACAAAATAAAGCCGTAGACAAAGAGTGTCTTCCGTCTAAGCTTGGGCTTTTTTTTTATTCAAGAAAAGCAACCGATACAAGGTTCATCAATTTTCCCCCGGATTTTGATAAAACCGCCTTGTGTGTTACTCTTCGGGGTTTATCGGCATTAGCCGAAAACGTAGATCCCTGGTTAAATTTTATAGATGTATAACAGCACGCTATACTCACACCTGCCCTCCGCGGGTGTACTTGTCTGGAAATGCCCACGCGAAAAGGCCCGTGATGATGGCTGGAACGCCTGCAGGAAAACACGTTATCAGATTATAGTCTACTTAGGCATACAAATATGCATCCACTTTGGCCTATCACCACTGTAGTCACTGAAAAAGTGAGCACGACAGGTAGTCTCTTTTCAGCTTCTGGCCTAGCCGGCGCAAGCTCGCTGCCTTCCGTGGTGCTTCAGTAGCGGGTGAGCGCTCGAGGGTCTGGAGATTCCCGAAGCGTCGTTGAAGACAGGGAGCTGGCGGCGGGACAACCAAAACCCCCATCCCTGCCGTTCTCATTATTTCAGTGACCACGGCCCGACAATCACGGACGCTTGGCCGCCGACACGACCATACCGGCTTTTCAGCGCGAATCGGGCAAATCAATAAAGTTTTACGTTTCTTGTATACCGTGATTTTGATATCCACAGACGGGCGAAACAAGCGTGCATCTTCGTACCGCATTCCCACGCGATGTCGGTGTTTGGAGGTAATGAAAAAATAAATTTTCCGTATAAAAGGAGTGGAAGGGCTCAAAAGGCTGCGCCATCTATGAGCGACGGCGGCAAGTGGACAACCGGCAAACACAACACGCTGGACAGCTAACGCCATCTATGAGCGACGGCGGCAACCAGAGTTTTGTGTCGACATTTTTTTGCGGGGGACACGATTCTGAGGAAACTAGCCCTTAATAGCTCCGCTGTAAAAATACGCAAGGGGGGCATTATCATTTTAAGAGATATGTGGAGATAAACATGATTAATAAGTTGATTGCATACACATTGGCGAGGAACGCGTTCAGTAGGATGACGCTTCTAAGGTGATCTTTGCACGACTGGTTGAGAACTACCTTTCCGAAGCTTCGAAGATTTGAAAGAACCAAAATGGCGATTGCCATGGCAACGGAAAGCGATCAGCCAATAATCGCCTTGCGAGGTTTTTGTCGTCTGAACGTTTGTATCCGTTTGTGTTTCGCTAGCATGCAGGGAAGACAATGATGCTATTTTCTCAAGATCCGGTTACTTCAGGGCCAGTATGCTTACGTCAAGTGAGAAACATTCCTACCCAGTATTGTTGCATGACTCCCTTAAAGGAGCTGTGCAACGATATTCAATTGGAATGTTTTTCTCTGTACACGAGCTTACTGGCACACCAGGGACTCAAGGATACTCACACGCAACGCCATTGGCCAAGAAACTCCTTTGCTGCGGTGTAATTTCAAGGACAAAAGTGATCATTTTCATTCAATCTCTCCTTTGCAAAATTTGATGACGTAACTCGGGGATTGCAGTACACCCAAGTGACGATATTTGAATGCGGTTCATAGATTGGACCCGACCATTGCGTGGGCACTCGACTTGTGCTCGTGACAATTGCTAGCTCGAGAAGCATTCGGGTTGTGACCCGTGTCCAATCGCTGCAACGGCGACAACAGCCGAGCCATAACAATGTCTGGAACTCAGCGCGTGTCCTGCGCTTTGCCAACCCCAGCGCGTGGCTATGATCAACACTGGCGGCATATAATCGGCTCCAGATCACGTGGCCGCTTGTTCTGGCTGCGAGTTGAGGGGGTGAACGCTGCTCATTTTTCTTTAATTTTTTTCTGAGTCTTCTATTGCGTGGGGTGAAAAACGAACGCGTGTTTTATAGGTCATTAACGTCAGGGATCCGTTTTAAGCGGTATTTGCGCAAAGTACAAAAATTGTTGCATTGCTCCTTTAACTACTCCAACCATCAAAGCGACTTGTTTTAGTTAATGGCCCATAACCGCTAGCAGCTCACTTATTCCAACACTTCTGGCTTCGTGGTTTCTTCTTCGGCCTTCCTATCGACTAACGTCGGGATCTTTGTTGAGTGCGGAGTGACAATGAGTTGCTCGACTTACCACGCGCTGCGTTTCTATGTCGCGGGGCAAACCTTTCGGTGCTCTATGGGCGTCTAACCTCCGCGTAGCCGAAAAGAAGAGCGCTGTGATGCAGTTTGATTTTAAAGCTGTCGATTGTTATAGTGGTTGTACAGGGTTAGACCATCCCCATTCCGTCTATTACGTATTTCCGGCGTACGGCCACCCCAGCGACCAACCGAAGCCTTTTGCTGTAGCATCCGTGGGATTTGCCTGTTTCTCTATTACAATATGTATATAAACGTAATATGTATATGTAAACATGAAATGACCCCTGGTCGCCGTATTTGCCGTTCGGAAGCTAGTGTGCGTGTGGAATACGTTTGTCGCATTAACCCCTTGCTGTATAACGGATGAAATCGGGATACGACAGAAGCGTGACGGATTCTTCTTTGATAACAGAGCACAGAGGGACACGAGCAGTGCGGAAAGTTCGCTTAGAAACAAAAACAAGAGCAAAAACAAAACAAACAACAACAACAAGCAAGTTTGGCTAACGGACCCCAGCCGGCGCCACTGACGGATGCACTGTTGAAGGGCAGGGACTCCGGGAACATGCCGACGAGCAGCTTGGCCATGTACGCCGACTCCAGCATCAGGAACAGGAAAGTGCTCAGGAAGAAGAACTGCAGGCACACGGCCGCCACCATGCACTGCTTCTGTGCTCGAAGAGAAGATTCGGAACCTTTGATTGTCACACTAGAAAGATTTTATTAAGTACAAAACGAGCGTGTTGGTAACGATAATTAAACATGAGGAAGATACATACAAGTCTTCCTTGTCAGTCAGAGTTTTGAAAGCAAGGAAATCAAAGGAAGTGTTGCTGAGCCAGAGGTTCAATATGTCACCTTTAAGTCTTTGTTGTCCGTCTCCCTTTTCTATGTATCTTCCTCATGTTTAAAAATTTTTTGTTGCTCGCTTTGTGGGCCCCCGGTTGAACTGCACTTATTAAGGCAATGTTGAACGTTTACTCGAAACCTTTTACTCAGATTGATAGTTTGCAGCGAGGATAGAGGCTTAAGGCCTGTTCCCACATGCAGCGGAGCGCTCCAAGCATAGCGCTTACCTCGCGCTAAGCGCGTGCTAATGGGAGCGTTCACCAGCTTTGTATCGCACCGTCAAAACTGTTGCTCATGGCAGACGATAAGTAGCTGACGGCACGTGAGGAGCGCTACATCAGCGCTTCGCTGCATGTGAGAACCGGCCTTTATGATACGTTACAGCAACCTGCGCCATGATTTTTGATTTTGCGAGACACGGGTCTGGAACAAACGGTGTAGAACACTAACGACGCAGTAACCATTTTAACCGTCTCGTATAATTATTCGTACTTAAGTTTTTTCATCTCATCGAACGCTTTAGGACGCGGAACGCCGGCGTCCGACGTTTGACTCTCGCATTCGAACGCTGCATTATGTTTGCACTTTTATAAATAAATACAAAAAAATGTCATTTTTTAATGACCTATTTGCATTTGACGTTGACGCCATCTGCTCCGGGTTCGACCTCTTTGTAGCTCCCATTCTGGGCTTATGGGTGCTTTACGTCTGCTTTACGTCGCACCGCTTATGAAGTACCTTACTGTGTACTTTACGTGGTACCACTTGTGAGCTACGGCGCGGTGCACAAGCAGTCAGGTGTACCTCGGTCAACTGCCGCTGGTCCGTCGTCGTCATGAGGACGCAGGTGTAGGCGCCCATAATGGAGAACTCGGAGAAGATCTGGGCCACCACGTCGGGGTACGCCGTGCTGATGGGGGAGAAAAAATAAAAATCGGGAGCGACCTTTTAAAGATGTCCGCGCAGCAGTGGACACGTGTTCCTGGCACCATACTACGGCTTTATATCTAGAATAAAAAATCTAAGAGGTCTTGCTGAAGCCCATACACTGTTCCCTTTCCAGAACGCCAAACGTCACACTAGTTATGCGGACACCATTGCTAAAGTTGAGGCTTGGGGCGAGGTGGTACATACTTCCGAATTAAAAACAGCGCGGAAAGACGAGGACCAGACAAGTCGGGCAAGGGCCAGTGGCGCCATCTCGCAGGGCTATCTCGCAGTAGCTATATAAAGCAACTTTCATGTTTCAACTCGTCGCTAAAGAGTGGCGCTGTTATCGTATTTAGCTCGGTCTCGGTGGACGCCAGGGGTGCAGGTTTCAAGAGTGAGTTTCCTAACTTAGTTTTTATAGATGGATGGACGGTTGGTAATGGCTATACCCTTTGTAACGGGCGGCAGCTTCCGCCACCTAGCCTCACTGAGCCATGCCAATGGCTGCCAGACTTGCGCTCGAACAAAGCACTTTTCATGCACGGTCTAGGTTTTACGGCTCGCAAACATTTATACGTGATGAAAAGACGTACCCGGAGGTTAAGAAGACGATGAGTGTGAATCCTGTGAGGATGAGAACAACGCAGCAGCCCATGATGCGAATGACCATGATGGCCGGAGAGGGGCGTGGACTCCCCTCGCTCACCGGCTTCAACTAAAAAAAAAAACGCCGCAAAAAAGAAAAAGTACACGTTATTTGGAGTTACGCGTATTTCAAGTATTGTGTGTTTGTGGGCCAGGAGGCGCGTGAAGAAGGAAAACAACTCACGGTGTCTATCTGAGCTTTCTTGGGCTGGTTACCTGGAATTGAAACCGACGTGCGCTCAATACACGCCGTTGCAGCGCTTGTCGGCGAGGCGTAAAATGTGCCCAACCACTTGGCTATGAACGCAATCTCGACGCGTGCTTTTCCTTTCAAGTGAGCCTCTACGGATGCTCAAAACGGCAGCGCGTGGAAGCCGAATATTGGAATACTCTGCACGCTTCTGATGTAGGAACTTTCCGATAACGATAGAAATTAAAGAGGGGCGAAGGCCTCGGTGAGAAGCAAGGTTCAAAACAGAACACTGGAGCCAAAAAAAAAAAGGAGGTGTGCAAATAACAGACGCACGCGTGCACACCGTTTCGCCGCTGGTGAGCAAGCTCGTGCTAAGAGCAAGAGGCCCTAAAGCTGTCGAGTCAGCCCTTGAAAACAGGTTTTACAACGAAGCTGTTTATGGCTAGGGTTCTGTGGATTTTTCGTGTGCGTCAACAAAAACTGTAAGCTCGCGCCGCACCCACGCGCCACATGAGCCGGCGTCTGCAGCAGTAGCTGTACTAAAGCAAAGTCCTAAAACAAATGGCATCCTACAGGCGCGTTCGTCAACGCTTTATTTTTGTAATGTACGTACTACGAATTTCTTATACGGGGAAGGCCCACGCGTGTGGCGCGTGGAACACCATTCCCCTTGAAGCTTGGGTTGCCATTCTCCATTTTTAATTTCACTTCTCTCGTCGTAATAGGGAGGTCGGGTATATAGCCCGGACTTCCGAAGAGCAACGCGCCTGCGAAGAGCAACGGCGGGAACGGCAACGAGAATGTCAGCGACGGCTGCGGGCGGCAGGTGTGTGTGCGTACCTTTCGTCACGATGACCACCGATCAAGACAATAAATGTGGTCGTACCTTTGTTAAAAATTTTGTGTCACGTCTGTGTCGGTGTGCTAAACAGCTTCGCTGGTCATGCACCTCCACAGAGTGGAATGGCTCCCATTTTTTTTTTTTGTTTATCAGAAACACATTGCTGTTATTTTTTTTTTAACAATCGCGTATTTGCTGCGATACTGTGCTGACCTTCGAGCGCCGCTGTTCTGCTGGGAAGTAACACCGTCTTGCATCCGCTCTGCGGGCCTTCCATGGGACACAAGGTGATTCGATACTCCAACCTCGGCTCCAAGTCCGTTAGGCTGGCGTGGCTCTCGCTGAGAGGAAGAACCATGGACCGCACGGGAAGCTGTGCGAAGGAGAGCGCAAAAACGGACACTCGCCTTTTCCAAAACTAAAACAAAACAAAACAAAATAACACCAATTAAGACATGAACTCATGCTCGAATGAAAGGTCAAACTGTTCCATTGGTGACTTGTGAAAGGCAACTAGTTGTTGTAAAAGACTAATAACCTAGTTACGCGGGCACCCATAACCGCAGTTGAGAGTGACTGAGGTGAGACTTCACTAGGGTTAAGGGTCTCCGACGGGCGCCCTAAACCGCGGTTACGCTTAAGTGTGATTAGCAGTTGCTAAAAATTATACCCTAGTTAATTATTCATAGGCACCCTCAATCGCAGATAAGTCTACTTAGTCATACTTAACTCGCACGTAAGATTTTACATTGTATTTTTTTATGCACGGTAAGACTGTCAATTAACGGTAAGACTTAAAGTGTTAACGTCATTGTGTGTATGTTCAGACATGGACATTCCTCACTGACACGTATTTCTATATGGTGACCGATTTCTGATACAGGGTCTTATCTGAGTGACGCAGTGTTCGATACACGCGCAGTGCAGAGTTCTACATATTATGCGCCATCAAGAAGTTCCGAGACGGATTTTGTTGCGTAAAAAGAAAGGGCAGCGCTGAGATGCGGGCGCAGATGACAAATTTGGCAGGGACTTTCGTCTAATGTTATGCCAAAGGGCGTCGTTCTGTTAACATTTGGAGCTGCGCTACACGTGTTTTTGTGACCTCATGCACGAGCACAATGGCGGTTTCACCGTAGACTGCAAACTTCAATTTTGCGCTAAACTCGGCAAATCTAAAACCATAGACATTAAAATTTTTCCAACAAACGTTTGAAAAAAAAAAAAAAAAGACAACAACGGTGAATTGTGCGAAGTGTTTTGAGTGTCCCTCTAGCTTCAAGAATGGCAGAAGATCGCTGGAAGACAGAAGAGCGCTCGAGGGATGTTGTTCTGGCTCTCTACGTCTGCCTTCGACTGGTGCGAGCTCATCACCGTGCTGCCGTCATGGTCTTATGCTTACACGAGTGTATATAAGCATATTTGGATTGATTTAGCTACCTGCTGTGCGTCAGCGTCGGCGACGGTCCTCCAGATGTCGAGCTTGAGGCCTCGTGGTTGCCAACCGTAACTTCGGCTCATGTTCCACTCCACCATGGCGGACGTTGGACTCAGAATGTCGACGCTCAACTCCGAGATCGCGGCCAGGGCCACTAAATAAAAAAGAAAAAAAAAAGAAGAAAAACACGCGCTTTTTTTTAAGAACTCAGACCCTGTCATCGTAAACGTTTTACTATCCAAGTCGGTCTCAAGTGCACATTTTGTTTTCGTAAATTTTCCCTCCAGTTGCGATAGACGTATACCATATACACCCTCCACGAGTGGGCAATGGACGGGCAGTTTCGCAAATATTGCTTTTGCATGGCTCCAGCCACGCGTCGGCGTATGATGCTGTAATGGTGATAAGGTCGAACCTCCGAGTTCATATGTCAAATCATGAAACGTTTACAATCAGGTCAAAGCCTCCTTCTGAAAGTTACGTGCCGTCTGTGGTAACCTAAAAATTCGTCACGGTGGAGCTGTCGAGAATGTGCAACATCGACATCTGAAAACCACGTGGGAATAGGCCTCTTTTGAAACCCCATCAAGCAAGATTGGCCGAAGCCATTTCTTGCACACAAAGCGCGTAATTGGATTCGCGTTTTCGCCAAACGATCCCTTTTGTCCAATGTATGCCCAGAGTTAGGATAATTGGCGCAGCCGCTACAAGAGGGCTCAACCTCTTGAAACGGGTCTATTCAATGTCAGCTTGTGGTGGTCTCTGCGTTGCGTTCTTTCTAGATCTTCTGGTAATGTGTTTGTTTGTGTGTGTGTGCGTGTGTGTGTGTGGGCGGGGGGGGGGGGGGCGTTCGAAGAACGTCCATTGCCAAACGCTATGCCTCGTTGGATTCGTGCAACCCGAGGCTTGGTCATCGAACTGTTTACAAGGAAGCTAGTTCCCCACTGCCCCGTATTTTCCAAGGGCAGCGTCGCGTGAGTCCTGCATTCGCCGACTGGTCTTTGTTTCGCGATTCCGCGGATAGAGGGCTCACAACACAATGCGGAACCGTGCCTCGATGCCATATTGTAGAGAAACCCCCTTTTTTGAATGGCTTGCGTGAAAGTGTCCTCCCTGCCTTCGCCCAGATTGAGGCGTAATACGGTACCAGGCTCTCCGCCAAAGGGCCGTTCCTCACGCTACGAGTTCTGGATGCATTCAGTGGGTCGTAATGACGCGGACTCAAATGCGCAAGGTTATGTATGGCCTTCCGTGTCGTCTTTTTCAGACATAAAGGGGGGGGGGGGGGGGGAATCAAGTTCGCCGTCTTTTTTAAGACGTAACAAAGGCTGGCGAATGATCAAGTTTTTTTTGTTTTGTTTTTTGTTGCCGCTTGTGATGCTTTAGTCACCGACAACCTAAAAAACGCACACTCTTAACAAGAAGAAGCCCAGTGGTATTTACTAGGTAAAAGTTAGTAACTGCTCGTCACATATACTACTAGGTACCTAGTAACTGTAGGTAGTAACGGTCAAGGTACTAAGCGTTACTTGGTCAAGAAGCTGGCAACGTTTACTAACAAGCATAGCATTTTTCACTACCTTTAGCTGGTAACTGGCACTAACTCCCACAAGACTCAGGTGGCGCTAGATAACGTCAAAATTCAAAACTGGCAAAACATTATATATATATATATACATATAATATTACCACGCTGCGCACACGCACCTTTGCACTCGTATTATACATTTAACACAGACGAGGAATCAGAACACAGATAATGCACACGCGACGACACGCTCAGCCAATCGCTTACCCAAAGGCTAGCTATGCGTCCTTTACAGAAGGTGGGGTAAAACGAGACGCGTTGCAAAATGAAACAGTTTGTGTTTAGCTCCATCTATCTCCTAGTCAAGCAATCCAAGTACGTTCAAACTTCACATCATAGAGGTGCCGTGACCTGTACAGTTTGAATTTGATAAAAATGGAGAGCTACACCTGTAAGACTGTTCCGGAGAAAATAAATTCGGAGTTGAGGTTGACCTGTTTATTCCCCCCCCCCCCCCCCCCCCCCCCCCCCCCGGGCCAAAAAAAGGCGCGAAATTCAGCGCGGGGTTTCGCTTTGAAGTGGGCACCTCGGTTGGCACCAACTATTCTGCCAAGGTAAGCATGAATTTTATTGGTATGTTTTAGCAGCTAGCTCTATGCGGCAAATTTGAGCTACATTATCTGACTTTCAGATAATGTAGTTTTGTTTAAAGTTTCGCTTGCTCCAGTGAAGTAGTATTTACTCCGAATTTTAATTATTTATTCATTTATTCACCCTAAAGACACTACGGGCATTACATGGGGGGGGGGGGGCGGTCATAAACACAATTAATAATAATCCATGAAAGTAAAAAAGAAAACGCAAAAGGCAGTTGTCACATAACACAACAAAACAAAAAATTGCACGCATAAAACTAGCTAGCAATAAATCACGATTATAAACTTTGATATACATTAGTTATTGAAGTAGTGAACATTGGGGGAGAGGTGATTTGACACAATATCGCTGGGTAGGTTGTTCCATTTGGAGATGAAAGACATCTAAGAACATCCCCAGGCTGTTTTTTTTTTATAGTGATGCAATTAAAATAAAAATTTGGCAAAAGTTTTATGTCTCGCTTTGCCCCACCTTAAACCTATAGCGATCATTTGAAACAAGCTAGTTGGTCAGTGACCACCTCGTCTGTTAACGATGTTACACATATGGCGCTGC